GTTTAGTGTGTGATTCTACTTTGTTTATACTAATTTGTTCTGCTTATTATTGTTGATAGAAGGATTTATAGAAATGATTATTGGGAAGTAAGAAAATAGAGAGCTTGTAAGCCCACTTGCCTGGAGCCATTAAAATTTGGTCTTTAAATGGGTCTAAGACACACCTGTAAAGAAGGGTCTGAAAGGATAAGCCTCATCCATGCTTTTGAGTACTCAGGATAATTTGTCTAGGGGACTCTTAACAGATTTAAGAACAAGGAACTCTTTGGACTCTTGAATCTCAAACTAATGGTTTTGTCAGAAGCTGGAAAAAATCTGGAACCATGAAGAAAACTCCTCTCTAGGACTGAAAGTTAAAGGGAGCCTGTGGAAACCTGAAATGCTTGCTTAGTGACCATCTGGATATACTTTTTGAGTGGAAGTGCAAGAAAAGCAGCAATAGAGAGATGGGTTGAGTCTGGCCACTGATACCAGTGGACTGATTTACAGGAACTAGGGGAGAAGATGAGAGCGGTTGACTGGTCTGAAGTTTAGGACCTAGCACGAGGGGGCTAGGCTTGTTGAGAATTTGTGATGAGGCCCATGGTTTAATGGCAAGGCAGCCAATGGGCACCATGGCAATGATAAGTGAGGCAGCCCACATTGAGTTGACCAGAGCCTGACCAGATGAAGAGAAGATTTTTCAGCCTGTGAACTGGTGCCCATTTTTTGCAGACTTTATGGATGGCTTGTCATGATTTGACTTTGCTTATGAATACAGATTTCACAAGGTTGCTACTGGAATGAAAATTTGTCACATCAAAGAATATGATTGTCCCCTCAGAGCACTGGGTTGATGTAAGTGGACAGTATAGAAATTGGATACCCAAAATTGGGAGGATAAAGGCATGAGGTGGTTGGCCTATAAATTTTCATAGGTGGGGAATATATTCACAGGATTATAGGATTAAGGTGTAGGTGTTCACATAAGTATAGAATATTTGTGTTTTTTCACTGATAGAATATTATATTTAAATGAGGTGGCACATTTTTTAATTGTGTGCATTTTAGTTTTACTCTATTAGGTACAGATATGATTTTATTATTGTCTCTTTGAAAATTATATATGGCTAAGGAGTTATGTGAAAGTGTCAAATTGACAAGGAGTAGTCTGTGGTAGTTACATAACATGTTGTCAGTTTAAGACTTGAGAGTGAAGTAGTGGAATTTGGCCTGTCAATCAGGTCGTAGATTGATGACCTAATTTGGAGGTGCTAAGGAGATAAATAGCTCATTGGAGG